TTTGTTTATAATTGTACATCATAATATCAGTATATTATGATATATTATTCAGAAAAATATTTATGCTATATAATACAATATATTTATTCACCATACGTTTTTATTTCACCATACTTGCTAAACTATAATAAACTAATTTAAAACTAAAACGTATCTAATAAAAGTTATGTAACACTTTATTTCTGTATATATGTTGAAACTATAAATAACTAAATTATTTGTTTGGCGGATTGTTAGATTAATATATTTATGCTCAACTTCAGGAGATTAAAACTAATTATTTATTTCAGATGAACCGTCCAATCCAAGTGAAGCCTGCCGATAGTGAAAACAGAGGAGGTGAGTTCAGACATTTAATTATAATAAAACTTTTTTTCTCAAAACATTATTTTGTAAGTGTTAATTCCAAAACTACCATTTTCAAAATAGGAAATTATGACATATGTTACAGCTTAACTTAAATATTAGATGAAATATTTCGTAAGAAAATCCATTTAAGATTAGAATCATTGTATTTTATGACACAATGCCAATATAAAAGTGACGTATGATATGCAAAGATTAGTTATTAATCGATATTTGAGAATAGAGAAATGCATCGATATATATATATGTGTTAAGTATACATGCGTAAATTAAATTTAGATGTTTTAATATACTGACATTTCAATTAATTCAAACATAAATTATACTTACTGAATCTGACACACTGATTTTTTACAATGCAAATATATTTTATGTTAGAGAAATATATTTATATATTTTAAAGTATAAATTAAACGTATGTTAATTAAGGAAGTTTCTTGAAATTTCATTTATACTACATGACATAATAGATTAATAAATTTTACTGATTCTGTGGATGCTAAATGCATGTTTTATGAAAACAAATTCAGTTCGAATATAATTTATTTATGTTTTCTATTAATTAGATAAATTAATCTTTCTATTAATAATAATTTTTAAATAAATAAATCTTGTAATAAATATTTTTTTTAATAATTTTATGAAAATATCATGTTTCTTTCCATTATTTTTTTTAAAAAAAGGAGAATAATGTTATAAAGAAATAATGTTGTATGCCTTTACTTCGTTGCATTCGTTTAATTTTAAAAAAAAACAATTAAAAATATTTTCCTAATAATTATTTTTCCCCACATCATCAACTAGTTTAGGAAAAAATCTTTAAAAAAATTTATACCATTGTATTAATCTTCGAATTTTTTTTATTTACACTTTGCAAATAAATCTTGAATTCAAATTTGTATATTCTGTGCTCAACAGATTGTTCTATTTTATAATAATTTAAAAACTTCTGATGAAATATAAAGGTATGAATGAAAGTAAATTCGGACTATTTGTTTGATTATATTTATAAAATATTTTATTGCTCCTATTCTAATAAATAACGATGGAATGTGAAACCAAATATCTTTTTTCGATTATTAAAAGCTAAATATATTCAGATATTAAAAATAACTGAACACTTTATAAGCAACTGATCAAATAGCCCAATGCCCACATATCAAATGATCTAAAACGTTTACATTCTTCATACATGGAAAAAGCATTAATTCAATAGCATTTTCTATTGAAGTTTCTACTGAAAAACTATTCAATAACATTTTCTATTGCAATTGCAAATGCAGAAAATGTGTTACCTTGCATAGAGAAAAAGTTTTACTTGAAATAACTAATATTAGGAACAATGAATCACCTTTGTCATATAAAGAAACTTTTGCTGTTATTTTTTTAAATCACATCCCAAAATTTCAACAAACTTTCAATAAAATTTATCTAAAACTAAAAAATGTACTCAGATTGTTGATATAAATTTTGTTAGAAATATTCATTTCTCTGAGATGTAAGTTAATTTTTATAAAGTTAATGTGATTTATGGAGAAGTGCGTTATTAGTTCTGCAATTTATATAGTATAATGCTACTACGTTCTTAAAAGGTTTAATATGTATTGAAATAAAATGCCATTTAAATTCTTTGACATCTTAATGCTGTGTTAACTTAATTATTGAGCTTTTTAAAGTTAGTTTAACGATTTTAGGGTTCAACATGCTTCAATTTTAAACATTTTGAAAGTTTCAGAAAACTTTAATTATGTTATGGATCAAGGAAGACTGACAAAAAATAATGAAATAGTTTAAATTTTACGATAATCTCTTTTTGGATCATTCTGAAATTATTAGAAACGCGATCAGCCGTAACATCATTTGACCCAATGACGGTTCTGCATGTAAAAGGTGGCATTTAAACCGGCAGTTTTCTCTGCATAGCAAAACCGGTTTTTCCATACTATTAAATAAGAATATAGCTCATTGGGGAGAAAAATTCTCCCAATTTTCTAACCACCGGTGGGTGAAATATACTGCACTGGTTCAGAGGCAAGCCATAGTATCTTCTTAAACTTGGTTATGTGAAGCTATGGTTCAACCTGAATAGAAACATTGCACAATTTATACCTTTTGAAGGTATGGATGAAGATAATCCGTATAGTGATTCAAAGTATAGATATTATGACTAAAAATTAACCGATATTTTTGAGAGTGCAGTAAAAGTGATAAAATTGATGATAAGTGGTTTTAATTGCAAAAACCAAAATAAAAGAATAAAGTAGCTTCTCTAACCGCAGGATAATGGTAAATCTAGCCAAAATTTTATTTTGAATCATCCTGTCTAAATTATTAGGAAATTATTTAAACATTTAAGTTTTCTTTCCTTAAATTTAAAATAACGTCTTAAGCCAAACAGATGCCAATGGAACAAAAAATGATTTTGAGTATAAATTTTCTCGCCGAGAAACAAAATCAAAAGCCTCTTTCCTTGTACACAAAGAGAAAATTGTTCGTCAGAAAAGCCTCTTTTTAATTTTTCCATCCGCCAACTAAATGTGTTTTTTTTTTAAATCCATCTAGAGACACATTTTCGTAACATTTTAATTTGGCCTCAGTTTAGAGCTGCATGTTCATGACTCTAGATCACGTGAGCAGCCGGACAAATTAAAATGCCATCGTGCGAATAAAACTTTAATTTGTCACTTATCTTTCTTACATTTTTATTTATTTATTTTTTTTTTTTCAAAAAAAGAAAAGCCGCGTAGTTTTGGTCTTTTTTGAAATCTTCCCCAGACGCTGTTCATTTTGCATTCTTGAAATTGCTCAACAAACTGTATTCATGAAAAATGATTTTTTCCGTTTTTCTGGTTCCATGCGTTTAAATAGTTTGAACTTTTTATTTTGTTTTTTTTTTTCGATGACATTTTCTTCTTCTCTCCTATTGGCGAATGTGTTAGTTTTAATTTGAAAACATTCTTGAACGCGCATTAGCTTTTCTCAGAGGAATTTATACGGAAAAATAGTGTCTCTCTGTATTCAAAATGAGAAAGTGTTTTTGCAATGCTAGAAAAGGAAAAAGTGTTATAATATTCATTTAAAAAGACAGAAAATAAGACTTATCTGACAGATAGGAATAATTGTAAAGATTTCAATTACGGTCGTGTAATTAGTTTCAATTCCCACGGTATTAAGAAAGTTAATTCAAAATGTAAGTAATTATTTATTTGATTGCAATAATATTAATGAATAATAGTAACATTTTTATCACGCGAGTAAATAGTGCTATGTAAAGTAATAAATAACATAACGGAGAATATTTAAATACCACTAAATAACAGATAAAATTGTTGTAAAGATTTTAATTACATGAACTTTGTTAAACCATGAGAATTAGCTCTAACTAATTATTTTAAGCTGTCATGCTATTTTTATATTACAACAATATTAAGGAATTTAACTTTTTATTAATTTTTTTGTAGTTTTATATATTATGTAAAGTAACTACCACTACATTTTCTTTAATTAGTTTAGCCTAGTAACGTAAATGACAGGTGAACAATCGGTACAAATGTTAAATATAAGTAAATATTTAATTCTTGATTTCAAAGATATACCAATAAATACTTGAATACAATATTAAGGATGAATCAAAAATTTCAATCAAAACTTATTAAGTTTAGTATCTGTAAAGGCTTTGATAAAACTAAATTAAATATTAAATAAATGTAAAGATTTCACTATTTTAATATCTTTCACTCTCTGATAACACTTTTAGAATCATCTTTACACCGTCAATAAAATAGACATTGGTATGCTTTTTAAATAAACCTAGAATAAAATCTTTACATTTGTTTTACCTCTTATTCAGTTTAACTTAAATATACACAACTGTATAATTTATTAAATATGCACAACTGTATATTGCATATTTCTTTTATTTTTGCAAGAAAAATGAAAAAGTTTAAAAATGGTATTAGAAAATCGTTTAAAATTGTATACCGAGTATATTTATTGCAATAAAAGTGAACAATATAAAATTTTCCAAATTTCTAATGAAGGTATTTATTATATATTATTTTAATCTTTATTAAAAAAAATTATGACATTTAGAGTTATTAATTTCTTATTCATCAAAATTTTTTAATAAACATATTTAAAAGGAAACATATTTTCCATTATATTATGAAAATTACTTAAAATGCACACAAATATTTAATGTGTAAAAAATGTGACATGCAGAATAATAAAGGCAACAATCCATGCATTTTCTTATATTTCATTTAAATTTATCTAGATATTGTAAATTACATAAATATTTGCCCAATACATTTAAAAAAATAATTTCTTCCCATAGTATTGAAATCATTTAAAAATGTTTGTCATTATTTGTTTTATAGAAATATTTGTTATAATTCATCAATTCTCATCAATATTGTGAAAAAAGGCATATAGAATCATAAATACATGCACCCATATTTTTTTAAAATCACACTTAAATTTATTTAAATAGTTACTACCTCAATGTCTTTAGATAAAGAGATTGGGCAGTGGTAGCCCAGGGGATTGAAAGCTCGCCTCCCAAGAAGGTGAGCCGGGTTTGAATCCTAGCGATAGCTGGTTGATTTGAGCTCCACACCCGGCTCGCACCGTTCACTATGCTGACGCAAAATATCCTCAGTTGTAGACGGATCATGGGTTAGAGTCCCCTTGCCGTCAGACTTAGTGTGGGAGGATTGTGTGGCTTCCTTCTCTCAATTCATGATACAGGAGTTCCCTTGTCTTCTGGATCAGGTTCAAAGTTGCAAGGCTATGGAGCATTGTTAGTCGTAAACCCAAAATTGGGTCTGCTGTTTAACGGTGGTTATAAAATAACATGAAGAGTTTCTGAGAAAAATTAAAGTACTATAGTATTATGGAGGTCATATAAAAATTCATACGAATTTTATTTAATTAGAATATATATAATAAATATGAAGATTTTATTATTTTTGCGAAATAGATGGTATGACTGAACTAACATAAACGAACTAACTCTCATATTTTTCTTTATAACTCATTTAAATTTACTTAAATATCTTCAATTACATAATTATCTACAAAGAAGCATTTACGCGAAAAATTAAATATTTCACCATGGCGTTATGAAAATAAATCCCAATATTTAATATTTTACAATATTTATAATTTATCTAAAAATAATCTAAACTAAATTATTACAATATTTATAATAATCTAAATAATCTAAACTTTAAAAAAATGCGAGTTGAAATATGATATGTATATAGGACGAATGTATAATAACGAAATGTTTCATGTATCTCCAATAGCATATAATATAATAATGTGACAAATTGTTGATTCTAAAATATTTAAGAACTAATAAAATATAATATTATTTCATGTACTAAAACTGGAAATTATTTCTAATCATATTTTAGGTGCACAAATACACTATACAATGCAAAAGGAAAAATATAATGACTTAGGTATGTAATGAATCAATGATTAGTATATTTAAATCCCCATTGTATACATTTATTTTGATATCCTTGTGTATTTTTGTTCTTACTTTTTACATTGTCTGGTATCATTGATTCTAATCTGTTGAGTCAAAGTAATTAACTCAGTTATTTAATTCACAGATTATACAATCATTGATGAATTACTGAATCAGTTACCAATGAACATGAAGTATCAGATTAAATTCTTTTATTAGAATGTATTGATTAAAAAGGTCCAATTTAGAAATTTGTATTTAGAAACTCAACATTATAGTTTCAACTTAGAAGTTGAGTTTTTTATCTAATAAATTTTGATCTTTTTATTCAAATTTATAAATTAGATTTCTAACATTTAAATGATTTTAATAAATTGTTTCGACTTACTTTAAACAAATAAAAAGCTAAAATATAAAATAACTGCTTTACTAAATTGATAACAAATTTAAACTACAGTGAGTGGTAGAAAAATTTAAAAACCCTCAAGCTTTACCCTAGACACAAAGGTCAGGCGGGTATTAAGTTTCGTTCGATTTAACCATTTCGTTTTATTAAGGATGAGAATATCTCTCTGTTGAGTTTTCATACCATGCAGCACAGTGACGTATTTTACATTCACATGATTTACTATGCTTTATTTTTATTAATATTATTTCCATATATGTATAACTATATATTCATACTGTTGTATCCATGTAAACAAAACAAAATGTTTATCTAAGCATGTGTATTTATACAAATGTGCAATTACCTTAAACAAATATACCTTCGATATAGAAGAAATTCTGAACTGATCTGCACCAAATTTGGTGTACGTACGTTCGAAAACACGACGGACTTTACTTACCTATCCTCTTCGCACCAGCTGGTGCAAGTCTCTTTTACCAAGCACCCCTGTCCTAAACTAGTCCTCCTCCCATTCATTTAGTTTCGCGTTTAACAAATCTTGGTGCAGGAATCTTTACACTAGGTGCAGGAATCTTAACTCCCTACTTTCCTTTTACGTCATCAGTCGAGTACTCAAGTAAGTGCGAGCACAATTGCTTTTTAAACGAATGGTGGTTAAGTCCAGTTCATCACCATCTTCTCTTCAAAATTTCCTCATGAATGCGTAATAATTTTATTTTATTACCTTTATCATCTCGTTGACAGGTGAGCACTCTATCCTTTGAGCCATCCCGACTTTAAAAGCATCTTTTAAAAATATTTCGCATGCGTATTTTTAGAATTTTTTTTTTTATTCGATTTCTATTTCTTGAGACATTTGTCAATTCCATTTTTTTCGGACTCCCTGTATCTGAAATTGCAAAATGTAAGATTGTTTTCTTAAAAACAAACATAGGTATTATTTATTTAAACAGTAAATAAATTACGAAAGAAATTTAGCAGGAAACAAAAAATTTTGATTTAAATATCATATTCTATCGCTAAAATCTATACGTTCTTATCTTCCGCCGATACCTACTTGAAAAATTCACGCTTAACTTCCCTGTTGCTAGGCAAGAGTTAAAAGAAACTTTTTTTTTTGTTTCCCCTCTTCAAAAATCAATTCTCATACGCGATTATCCAGCGTATCTTTATCAACTCGTCAACTATTTTTTTATTTATTTATTTATGCTTCTTTTTATCTCGTCACATACTAAAACACCACTTAGTATTCCGAAAACAAAAAACCAATAACCGTTATAGCTCTTTGGCTTACTTTACAACCCCTTTACTCTTTCCTGAGAACGTTATATTTTGGCGCTGGAGCCTCTTAAGATTGCGCCAATAAAAGCCATTTATAGCCACCGCCCGAAGATTATCTTTTTTAAGCGAAATTGAACTCGTTAAGGAACGATGTATATCATCGTGGTTTCTTAGTTTCATCGGAACTTTTTAAGAGGGGGTATAAGTTAATTGTTCATTCCAATGTAGATAAAGATGTTATGAACATTGACCTTACACAATGAGTACAAGAAAATCGTGAAAAGATATCAATAAATTTTAATATATCTTTAAAATTTTATCTTAAATCTTATTTTAAAACATATAAGTAAATTGGAGTAAAACTTAAAATGAAATTAGAACATATGAATTAGAATAATATCACTATACTTGAAGTAAAAACAATAAACGATGGTGAAACTGACTCATAATTGTTTTATTTGAAAGTAAAATAAAATGCCGAAAACCTCCTACGATTTGGCCTGCTGCAAATGTTACTCTAATGGTGGTATATAGAGTCAACTCAATTCTAAGCTGTCATCGCCAGGGTTCGATTCTGGGTCGTCTGAATTGAGAGCGAGTGATTTTTCATTGCGCAATCAATGCTTCTTAGGTACGGTATTAATCATTTCAAAATATTTTAAAAGATATGATTTGATATAAATATTTTTAAAAAAATTGTTTGACTTAAAATAAGTTTAAAATTTTTAACGGTATTTCAGCTTAAAGATGTTCAAAATTGTAATTAATTTTAAACTACCTCCTAAATAGTATCAGCCTGCCAATTTAAGCCTTACTTGTCATTTTCGGAAAGGAATTTTGAAAATTTGTGACACATTTGAAAAATTTAAAAATATTGCAAGAAGCTTAAACAGTTATTACTTTACCTGCAATAATTACTAAAATTAACAAAAATGTTTGTTTAACTCTAACCTTCTTCATAAATCAAATCATAATGAGCATATTTAGGAATTACTTGATAAAAAAAATTCGTTCTCTTCAAAATTATGCAAATTAGAAATAATAGTCATAGTAGCAGAGAGAGAAAAAAATGAATAAAAAAGAAACAAGAAAAACCACAGTGGCTAAGAGAAGCAAATCAGAGCAAAATGCATTTCCACACGCTATGGAGAGTTTATGAGGAACTAATGTCGTTAACAAGGGAATTAGTATTCAGATTAATTAAGCGAGAATCCAAGGTGTTATGATGAGCTTTATTTAATGCAAATAGATATTATTACTAATTTATGTAAACTATTCCTCATTTATGTTAAATTTTATTTAACATAAATGCGCTTATGATCACTTAAACCTATTTCTAAAGAAAGAAAGAAGCTAAAATACTTTATCTGCTTTAATTGCCTCAAGGAGTTCAAAATATTCATTTTATTCAGAATTGCATAATCAAATAATTCGGCGCAATTAGGCACTATTAATCATTTATGACATTATTTTTCGGACAATAACGGATGAAAGATATTATTAGTAATTATATACGGAAGGTATTATTTGTAATTTTTCAGATTCTTTTTTTAAACTTCATTCTGTATAAATGATCATTTAAAGCTATTCCGAAAGAATCAACTTGGCGAGCTAAAGGAAAATAAATATCTAAATTGAAATATTTTATCTGCATTAATTCCCTAAAAGAGTTCAAAAATTTCATTTACTCCGAATTTCGCATTAATCAAATAATTCTGCGCATATTTAGGCACTATTAGTCATTTATGAAATTATTTCTCGGACAACATCACATGTTTGGGGATAGAAATCCACGATATCTCTTACAGTTCTCTGCCCCATTCTGAGAAATTCTAAGCGGCTTTATTAGCGTTATCTTCTCTCGTTAACGCTTCCCTTTGACTGGTCCATTTCGCTCGGACTACTATACCACTAACGCATCTGCCAGTGGTGTTAGTAGCCTGATGTTATCAGCATATACTACAAAACAGAATTAGGGATCGTTAACATTCTTAGAAAAATGTTATTTATAGATCGAATAAGAAAAATTGTTTTTTTTGAAAAATTGTAATATTTTCTTTTTAAATTTATGCATATACTGTGTGAAGTGCTTTGTATAGTTAACTTAGTTTAGTTTAATTCCTGTATAAATTGGAGAATTTAACATTGGTAATAATAACGTGTTTAGTTTATAGTAATGACTAGCTTTTAACTTTGTAATTTAAACTTTTCAGATTCACTGAGAGAGATATTAAAATATTTTAAACTTTCAGAGGCATCATAATATTACATTTTTATTTTTTGTTGAATGTTATTAAAAGACTATCGGGAAGTATCAGGAAAAAAACGCTTAGACAATGTGTTGCAACATGCAAATTCAGAAATACAACCACACAGTAAAAGTAAATAATAACGCGAAAAAAAATCAAAATGTAGAAAAGACAATGAAGATTTTGAAGGAAATAAAACCACGGAATAAATAGCAAAGAAGGATGATATTGTACAGACATTCAATAACACAAATATGGGCAATTTTGAGTGTTAATTTATGCACCATACCCAAATAAAGAGCAAGTATTTTTGGGCAGAAAGATGCTTTTTATCAAACATTATTATGCGAATTCTTTATTTTACTAGCTAAGCAAAATTTATCTTCATTTCATCTGTCTTTTTGTAATTATATTCGTTTACTGGTTTTATCCAACTTAGGGTTTTGTTTATCGTAATTTTCTTAACCTTATACTACCTAGACTGACGGTATGGGCCAGAGTGACCCCTAAAGTACTTTGGTAGGTACCCCATAACCCCAGAAAGATTTGGGTATAAGGTACATTTTAGTAGGCATATGGTATCGAAGTTTCATTAAAAAGAAGAGTATTTCAACACACCTTCCAGTATTATTTATGTAGTAAAGATATCTCAATTATCTAAAAGTAATAAGTATAATTAAACTCAATGTTACGCTTAATCAAATATTTTCATTAATCAAATTGAATGAAATACCATAAAATTTTTTGATGACCGAGTCTCTAATAAATATCTCATTAAATTAATTACGATTATATTTTAAGATTTTGGATGTCTAAGTGATCTCAATTTCTGGGAAGATCTCACAAAGTTTGCACAAACAATCTGGGAAGGGCTAGACTAGCCCCTTCAGACTTACTATAGGGAGACCGCAATAATCAGTCTTTTTAGTATTATATCAAATATGTCTTAAATTTTAACGTATTTCAGATCAAAATATTTTATGGCATTTCTTTTAAACTCAATTTAAGCGTAGTAATCGCAAATAGTAATCGTAAGATCACAAAAGTTCA